CTGGAGTGTGCAAGATCTGGGCCTGGGAGTGGGTCCAGTAGGGAAACTGTGGGTGCCTCTCTGATGGGTTGCAACGCTCACTGGTAAGCATAATCAGGGCTGGGAATGGACCTGATCAGATACGTGGTAGTACCCACCAGCATGAGTATGGGCTGGATAGTGGGGTTGGTTGGGTTGAGCTAGGCTTCAATGCCCATTGATGTGTCTAAGAGCTGAATGGAAGTGGGACAGACCATGTGTGTGTAGGCTGATGTGGGTGACAGACAGAGCTGGACCCCATACAGGCAAGAACACAGAAAAGTCAGGTCTGAGATCAGTTCAGACAAGGTTTCTTTGGGGATCCTTCCAACTGAACCACTTAACTCAGAACTCCAACCACAGGGAGAATTGCAGGTTCCGTGATCTGACTGTGGAGTGCATGTGTCAGAGCTGGGCCTCCTCAGTGGCTTAGATGGAGTAGTGGGTGGCATGCCCAGATGCACATGGAGGAAATGGCAGTCCATTGGGGCCGCAAAGGACATCTGGTACCACAACAGAGGAAGGAAGGCAGAACAAATTGATCAACTACCCCAGCCAAGCTTTGACAGTAAGTATCTGGGCGAACAGAGACTCTAGGGTAGACTATGTCAGACCTCGGAAGGATTTCTTCATCCTTGGAGTGGTAAAACTGACAGCATTTCAGAACTATTGAAATCTAACCGGAACCGTCAGAACACGCTCCACACCGGGGACCTTGGGATGACATCGGGTGACTGTTCCCCTTCCCTGGGTACTGAGGTGGTTGGGAAGCTGGATGTGTTTTCTCCTCTCATCTTCCTCCTTTTCCAAGACACAGGAAAAAAAAGAAAACTGTGCAAACAATGATTTCACTCACTTTCTTCTAACCCTTGACTCTTCCTACCCTAATCAATGATGGAAATATTATCAAAAATCAAATTTAAAACAAACCAAACCAAAAAAAGAAACCACAGGAGTGCCCCCTTCCAGCTGTTCTCCCAGTGCCATGTACATACTTCTCCTACAGAGAGGGAGCAGAGGAGAAAGACCGACACTAAGATTTATGTAAGGCACTGACTCATGTGAAGAGGAAGGTCCGAGAGCCCAAGAGCTGATGGTGTAGATGCAGGCTGAACGTGAGGCCTCAGCCCCGGGGCGCCCGCGGTCACTGTGCACCCCAGGTGCACGGCCGTGCACAGCCAGCTCAGCCTTCCTCTGCCTCATGGTTCTGTCTAGGCCCACTCACAAGGAGGAGGGGCCTCAGCCTGCTAATTTAAACATTGGTCTTCCCCCCAAACACCCTCCCACACACACCCAGAAATAATATGCAAGCATCTCTCTGCCCAGTCGAGTCGATACATGAACTAACCACAGACCTCTCTGGCTGAGGGCTGAAGACACTGGCCTGGGCTAATCCCCACTCCTCCGCAGATGACTGAGAGGCCGTTCCTGCCATCTGGAAATCTAGAGATGATCCATGGCAATCCTGAGGCTGTGCTGCCCGGCCGCGGTGGACTATGTTGGGATTCGGGTTTCAGCTGCGAGATGGAGTAAGGGCAGCCAGGGTGTGCTTACAGGACAAAGTAGAAACAGTATCACTGGGGAGGTGAGCAAATACTGTGGGAGGAAAGAGAGGGAAAGGGTGGGGGGGGGTTCAAGGATTGTTTTATGGGGGGGTAGGGGGACCCCTGGGACAGAACTTCCTCTCTCCTCTCTGGAGTCAGTGTCCCCCTGGATCCAGGTCTCCAACCTCAACAAGTAGCTTTACTTCCACCCAGAATGTGCTGCATTATTTCCACAGTCTTTTTGCCATGAGACTTTATCCTAGAAACATCATGTGGTTCTGGCCTCATAAAATCACCTACACTGTTGGAGGAAGCGAGCTTCCACGGGGTCTATGCGTAGACACCAAATGCAAGCATGCAAGAGTAGATGGGGGGGGGGTCTGGTGCCGTAGCCTAGCAGCTAATATCCCATATATTAGCTTGAACGCGCAGGGATCACATATAAACTCTGCTTCTAATCCCAGTGGCTCTGCTTCCCATCCAGCTCCCTATTTGTGGCCTGGGAAAGCAGTGGAGGATGGCCCAAAGCCTTGGGACCCTGTACCTCTAACCCTAACCCTGGAAGAAGCTCCTGGTTCCTAACTCTGGAGCAGCTCAGAATCCAGCCATTGTGCTCACTTGGGGAGTGAGTCACCGAACAGAAGATCTTCCTCTGTCTCTCCTCCTCTCTGTATATCTGTCTCTCTTCCTCTCTGTATATCAATAAAAATAAATAAATTTAAAAAAAAAAGAGTAGATAGGGTAGGACAATGATGCCCATGAGTCCACCACCAGTTTCAGCCACTTCCAAATTATAATAGTAATAATTTTCATTTATGCAACCTATTACCTTCCTTTGGATTATTTTGAAAGAAAATTTTTCATTATAATAATCAAAAAGTCAAAGGAAATTTTAAAAGTATATTCAAAATCAAATTTAAATTTTTTTTTAATTTTGAATTTTATGATATAGTTCCACAGAGTCTGGAGTTCCCTCCCTTTCCCATCCCCCCCAACTGCAAAATCATATTTTTGTTTGTGTAACTGTATCAATGTGATCCTAAAGAAGGACATGTTTTTAAAACAGTATAATCACATATGCCATTATCATAACTAAAAAAAAACTATTGCTTAGCTTTATCAAATAGTGTTTATAGTTCTCTGATCATCTTAGAGGAATTTTTAAAAATTACTTATTTAACTGAGAGGGTACGTGGAGAAAGCTCGTATCTGCTGATTCATTCCCCAAAGGGCTACCATGCCAGGAGCTGGGAGCTCATCCCAGGTCTCCCATGGGGATGGCAGGAACCCAATTCCTGCAGTCTCCCGGGGTCTGTGTCAGCAGGCAGGAGGCAGGTACGGAGCCCAGGCACCGAGACAAACACAGCGGGCCTCTTGGCCACCAGGTGACACGGCTTGCCGTTCACTGGGTCTGAGTGATTGGGTTTCCTATCTCTCCAGCTGGACATGACCAAGGGCACATGCTGTCCCTGTGAGGGCTTCTGTCCTTGCCCATCAGTTGGAAGGGCTGACTCACTCACGGGCATCCATCCAGGTGACAACGGTCACTCCTGTGCAGGTGGGCAGACAAGCGGTGTGTATGGGCAGAAGGTGGCCTCATCCAGAACATGAGGAGCTGCCCTTGGCAGGGGTGCTGATGAGACCCAGAGCCCTCACTTGATCCCATGTGCACCATCTTGAAATCCACATGCACTGCCTGGGTTCCCTCCCACCCCGACCCCTTCAGCCAGGACCTCCAGGGACATGACCAGGGCAGGGTCTCCTGTACATCTGCCTTACTGAACCCCCCAAAGGCGTAGCCAGGATTGGGGGCCCCCCAGGTAACCGAGACCTACATTCTGTACCATCCTGAGAGGAGAAAGCGCTGAGGTGGGCTGCCCTGTAGGCCCAACTCCAGCCTCTCTGAGGGAAAGGCCAATGCCAGCTGCCAGAAGGGCCAGGATGCCAGATCTGCTTTGTGACAGTCACCTACACAGCAGCCAACAGAACTGCTACAGGGAGGAGGGGACTGGCCTTTTGCCAGCTGTCCCAAAGGCTCTACGCAGAACTCCTGAGGATTCATTCCTCCCAGGGGTTGGCCCTGATTCTCCCACCCCCTCCTGGGGCCAGACTAAGAGACCCCCTGAGACCCTGGGATCACTTGCTTTGAGATGCCCACATAACTGCCCAGTGACAGCGCATTCTGGGAAGCAGCCTGCCTTGGATGCACCAGTTTTGCGTGCAGCCCTCCTGATACCAACCACTGGTCCAGGACCAGAGGCTGTCAGATGGCAGCATATGGTGTCCACCACGGCCGGGCAGATTTCCTTGGAGAGACCCTTCCTCTTCCTCCGGCTGCTACCTGGGGTCAGCCAATTTGCGAGGAGGGGCCTGAAAGCTGACAGGGCCTGCATTTCCTTCCCGCTTGGGCCCGAGGGGGCCTGACAAGCAGGACTCCAGAGGAGGAGGGAAGGCAGGGATCCAGGGAGCCCTGTGTGTCCTGCCACCCCCGCCAAGCCTTATGCTGATGAGAGAGGGTGTGGGCAGAGGCCTGACACACGGGCCGGATGGGAGCAGCCATTAGCACTAATGAGGCAGGCGGCCTGAGAGCATTGTACTCTGGAGCCGCTTGCCCACCCAGGGAACAGTCCGTTCTGTTGCTTTGGTTTCCAGGAACCCTAGGCGGGAAGGGGTCTGGGGACAGCAGTACAAGTGGGGGGTCTTGGGAGAAGTCAGGAGAGAGAGACAGGAGGGGGGCCAGGGTCCGGCATGCTGCCAGGACAGCCTGGATTTGGCCATATGGGCTTCTCTCCTTCACTCAAAGACATCTGGGGTCTGCCTGTGCATGCCCACCCCTGCCCCACAATGGTTACAGGTCCATCACCCCCGTCCACACCCTTGGTCCAAGTTCCTGGAAGCAAAGCAAGCAGCATGCCACGTAGCGGCTGAGTGAGCATCTCCGGGGCCACAAATTAAATCATGCTCTAAAGGCCACCTGCTTTGTTCTTGCTAATGGCTCCAGTCTGGTCCACCTCTAGATCCCCATGCAGTGGAAAGCGGGGACCCTGGGCACCCTAGCTTGTTTCCAAACTCTAATTGGCTCTCCCTCAAATTGGAGATGGGTACACCCTCTTGTAGAGTCCGAAGGTTCAGGGTTGCAGGGAGGAAGGCTGGCCACAGGCATGTCCCCGCCCTGTAGGGGTTGGAGGGTGGGGGGCAGTCTCTCCCTGCCAGGGGCAGTCACGTGTGGGTTCTTCATTATTAGATCCTGCCATATAAACTGAACGCCTGAGGCAGCAGGGCACTCTCAGCAGGAATACAGCAAGCAGAAGTGAGTCCTTGAAGTGGACAGGGACTCCTATTCTTTGGGGGGCCTCTTGTGGGGGTGGGGGAAACCCCTAGAGGGAACTCTGAGCATGAGGGGGGACTAAGTGGTGGCTCTTCCTGCCATACCAGGCCATGCTGATTACAGCGCTGCTGAGCTGTGCCCTGCTGTCGGCACTGCCTGCCATGCACGGGGCCCAGGTGGGCATGCCTCCTTTGGCAGGCATCAGAAGGCTCGGCCAGGCCCTGTTCCCAGAGCTCACAGGTCAGTATGCACAGGCACAGGGCTGCCTGGGGGCTGGATATTCTCTGGCCATTAATCAGCTGCCTTGCTCAAACCCTTCAGTCCCCTTCCTCATCCCAGCCTGGGGGGTGGGGTGCATGAAGGAGGAAGTCTTCCTTCCACCTGCTCTGCCTGCCCCAGGCCTGGGCTTTCAGACCCCGCTGAGGAGGACGAAGGTGGAGCTGGCAGAAGAGGATCTGCTGCCGGAGGCTGAGGCGCTGGCAGAGGTAACGGTTCGGGGAACGGGGAAACCTGGCAGATCTCTGGAGGGGGCATCCTTCTCCCCTCTCCCCTCCAGATCCCCTGACCAGCGGCAGCACTGCGGGCCACTCCTCCCCCATGCGGTGGTCCCAGGTCCCAGTCCTTGAACGCAGCTGCCAATGTCCCCGCTTCCCCCACCTCTGCAGGTGTTAGACCCGCAAGCCCGGGAGCCTCGCTCCCCTCGCCGCTGCGTCAGGCTGCACGAGTCCTGTCTGGGGCAGCAGGTGCCATGCTGCGACCCGTGTGCCACGTGCTACTGTCGCTTCTTCAACGCCTTCTGCTACTGCCGCAAACTGGGCACTGCCAACAACCCCTGCAGCCGCACCTAGCCGGCTGGGGCAGATGACGTGGGGCTGGGGCGGGGGGCACAGGGGACGCCAATAAAGGATGGAAACAACCCCAAAGCTGTGGTGCTTTTGAATGTATCGTCGAATGGGGACGGTGGTGGTGGTGGTGGGGGGGGTGAGTTCATGGCTGACAGGGGGCGTGTCACCAAACCAAGAAACTACATATACGCACACACTCCTTACCCCAGCGTCTGGACCAGGCATCTGAGCCACATATGCGTGCATTTTTTAAGGTGCCGGGCGCCTTGGAGCTGGTGGGGAAGCTGAAGAGAGCCGCGCTAAAGCACATGAGGGTGTCACAATCGCGGGGAAGGCCAGGAATAGCGTGCGCTCCAGTGGTCTGTGACATCCAGCGAAGCCCAGCTCTGAGCAGACCTCACTTCCCTCTCTGTGGGGAAGCTTCCTCGGCAATGTGAAATCTTCTCCAACTATAAACACCTCCCACCGTTTCCTTAGCGCGGCAACCGGGAGGGCTAGAGAGAGCGCGTGCGCCTCACGTACGCCTCGCAGCCACGGGCGCCACCAAGCGGCCAACCTCGGCCATGCGCGCGCCTCCTCCCCTCTACGCGCAGGCGCAACGGGTCGGCCAGCAGGCACCCGGAAGCTGGACGCCTCCTCAAAACCCCGCCCTGTTGAAGTCACGTGAGCGCTCGTGCGTCACCTGACGCACTTGACAGCCCGCGGCCGGCGCCGCGTCAGCTGATCTTGGAGTGGCGTTTGCGTGCCGGCAGGTTGGGGTTCTCCGGCCTCGCCATCCGCGCCGCAGCCATGTCGTTCTTCCCGGAGCTCTATTTCAACGTGGACAATGGCTACTTGGAGGGGCTAGTGCGCGGCCTGAAGGCCGGGGTGCTCAGCCAGGCCGACTACCTCAACCTGGTGCAGTGCGAGACGCTTGAGGGTGAGCCGCAGGGCTGGACTGAGGGGTTCTTCGAAGGCCACGATGGAGGCCGGCCTGGGCCTGAGGGTTCGGAGGTTCTGGGCGGAGAAGCCGGAAACGGGCGGTCTTTGAGGATCTGAGAGGCCTGTCTGGGAATCCCGGGACTGATGGCGGGCGAGGGGCGGGGGCAGGCGGGAAGTGGATCTTCCTGCTGCAGTCGACATGGGCTCAATCATGACTTTAAGAATTGCAGTGGTTCGCCTTGGTTTGGGCCAGCCCATCTTGCGTTATGCTAACCGTGTAGTTTGGGAGGAGGATGTAGGAGCCTCTTTAACCTGCTAAGGCCAGAGATCTGTCCTGTGGTCAAGCTTAGGGAAGCTAAACGCAAATGCACCATCCCTCCACTTTGCCCACACATATCCTCCAAGGCCTTTGGGATTATTGTGACTTCGCCGTGGCCTCCCTGGGCAACTGCTGAGCCAGTGAGGGTGTTGGCGGGGCAGTGTCTCCTGAAGGCAGGGCTTAGGAGAGCAAGGGATGACCAAGAATCCAAGTGTCTGACCCCAAATCCCAGGCCAACAGTGGCGGGAGGGGGTGGCGTGTATTAGGACACTGTGTCTTGCACAAGAATGGTGAGAAGTTGAGTTCTGCTTTCCTCCCAGTACCCAGCTGCAAAGCAGGTGGATGCCCTGAGGGCCAGCCACAGGTGTACTGAGGTAGAGCTGTTGTGCTGGACTTGCCTCCCTCCTCCAAGATGGTCGTGAAGGGCAGCCTGGCTGGGGTGAGTCCCCATGGGATCCCTGGAGCAGAGGGATTGATGTAGCCTCGGGATTAACAGCTCAAAGGGGAATATGGCCACATGATTCAGCCACAAGAGGAAAGTGTCTCGCCAAAAGCTTTTGATGTTAAAGAGGAGCTTAATCTCGTCTTGTTTCTCTTGCAAACTAGACCAGAAAAGTGGAAATACATACTGTTAAAGTAGAAAATGTACTGTAAAAAATTTATTTATTTATTTATTTATTTTCGGCTTATTTGAAAATTGGAGTTACAGAGAGCTAGAGAGGGAGAGAGAGAGCTTCCATCTGCTGGTTCACTCTCCAGATGGCCACAACAGCCAGGGCTGGGCTAGATCAGAGCCAAAGCTTCTTCCAGGTCTCGCATGTGGATAACAGGTGCCCAAGATCTTGGTCCATCTTTCACCACTTCCTCAGGCACATTAGCAGGGAGCTTGGATGGGAAGTGGGGCAGTTGGGACTCAAACTGTAGCCCATCGCAGATGTCAGCCTAGAGATAGTGGCTTAACTTGCTACATTATTTGCTTATGAAACTGAAAAACAGTTATTGTAGATATGGGCCCCACGTGGTAGCCTAGTGGCTAAAGTCCCCCCCCTTGCACACACCGGGATCCCATATGGGCGCCAGTTCGTATCCTGGCTGCTCCATTTCCCTCTTATCTCCCTGCTTGTGGCCTGGGAAAGCAGTCAAGGAAGGGCCAAAACTTTGGACACTTCACCCACGTGGGAGACCTGAAAGAAGTTCCAGGACCCTGGCTTTGGATCAGCTCTGCTCCAGCCATTATGGCCACTTGGGGAGTGAAACGGTGGACGAAAGATCTTTCTCTGTGTTTCTGCTTCTCTCTGTAAATCTGACTTTCCAATAAATAGATAAGTAAATAAATCTTTAAAGAAAATAATTATAGATATGGCTAACATAAATCTGTACGGAAGTTCTTAGCTCCCTGTGCGAGTGGCAGTGGGAAGGAGAGGAGAGGGCTTTAGGGCACCGTGTTGTAGGAGTCTGCCAGTAACTTGATTTACTGTAGGGAGACTTCCTGGAGCAGGGCCTGGCACACACTTGGTGTGTAGTGTGTTTTGTGGGCTGACTTGGACTTGAGGAAGATCTTGCTGAATCTAAAGGGGAACACCAGCATCATCAGCTGGAATTAGGTTGAGTGATTGGTTTGAGAGGCCAACTTACAGAGAAACAGAAGATCTTCCGTCTGCTGGTTCACCGCACAAATGGCCTCAAGAGCCAGAACTTGGCTGGTCCGAAGCCAGGAGCCAACAGCTTCATCTAGGCCTTCCATTTGGGTGCAGGGGACCAAGGCCTTGGGCTGTCTTCTGCTTTTTTCCAGACATGTGAGCAGAACTGGGTAGGAAGTGAGGTGACTGGGACTTGAACCAGCACCCATGAGGGATGCTGGCACAGCCAGGGGAGCAACTTCCAATTGCTATACCACAGTGCTGGCCCCTGTTCCGGGCTTTTCTTTCTTTCTCTGCCCGCCCCGCCCCCCCAATAAAAGATAAATAAATCTTCTTTTTTTTATATTTGTTTTTTTAAAGATTTATTTTTATTATTTTCTTATTGGAAAGGCAGATATACAGAGAGGAGAGACAGGGAGGAAGATCTTCCGTCCGATGATTCACTCCCCAAGTGAGCGCAACGGCCGATGCTATGTCGATCCGAAGCCAGGAGCCTCTTCCAGGTCTCCCACGCGGGTGCAGGGTCCCAAAGCCTTGGGCCGTCCTCAATTGCTTTCCTGGGCCACAGGCAGGGAGCTGGAAGGGAAGCAGGGCTGCCGGGATTAGAACTGGTGCCCATATGGGATCCCGGGCGTGCAAGGCGAGGACTTAACCACTTGCGCCACCGCGCCGGGCCCTAAATCTTCTTTTTAAAGATTTATTTATTTTTATTGGAAAAGCAGATATACAGAGAGGAAAAGAGGCAGAGAGGAAGATCTCTTGTCTAATGATTCACTCCCCAGCTGGCCAAAGTCCCTGGAGCTGAGCTGATCCAAAGCCAGGAGCCTGGAGTCTCTTCCGGGTCTCCCACATGGGTGCAGGGTCCCACAGCTTTGGGCCATCTCGACTGCTTTCCCAGGCCACAAGCAGGGAGCTGGATGGGAAGTGGGGCTGCTGGGATGTGAACCGGCACCTATATGGGATCCTGGTGGATTCAAGGTGAGGGCTTTAGCCACTAGGTTTATTGTACCAGGCCCTGTTCTAGGCTTTTCTAACTCCTGCTTCTACTTGTCCTTTGTAGAATTCTAGGGGTCCAAGATTTACATCTGGCCAGGAGGCCCTCTGTCGTCCTGCAGACAGTGCTGTGCTGGGTGGTCTTCCTGTTCAGTGCACACTCCCCAGGCCCCTTGTGGGATACCATGCTGGCTTTTCCTGGCATTCAGAATCGCGTGCTTTTTCAGATGTGTTCATCATATAGAAGCCAGCCCCGCCCGCCCCACGTGGTGCATACCATGAGGCAGATTGAGGAATTCGGTGAATCTGGGCTTGAGTTCCAACACTGAAAGTCAGTGGATTTTCTTAGATAAGTGATTCAGCACCTCTGAGAGCATCCATTTCTTAGACTTTGAGTCGCCCACGAGCTCTGCTGCCTGCACAATGTGGAGCGCCACACCAAGGGCAGAGTAAGCTCTCGGCAGACCTTGGCTCATGTTTTCAGTGTGGCTTGTGCTTGCCTGCCTGCTTCCTGTTTTCTTCCATGAGGCCCAGTCCTAGTGCCACCTCATCCTTGAAACTGTCTGTAACCCTGCTAGGTTAGAAAGTTGCCCTTTCTGGTGCAGTGGCATATCCGGTCAAGCCTCCTCCTGTGGTGCTGGCATTGCTTTAGTTTGCTAGTTCAAGTCCCAATTGCACCACTCTGATTGACCTCCTTGCTAATGGCCTGGGAAAGCATAGAGGATGGCTTAAGTGCTTGGGCCCCTGCACCCACACGGGAGACCCAGAATAAGCTTCTGACTGCTGGCTTTGGATCAGTCCGGCTGCTGCCATTGGGAGCCTTTTGGAAGTGAATCAGTGGGTGGAAGATATCTCTCTTCTTTGGACAGGCCCAGCTGTAGCCATTGCAGCATTTGGGGACCGAACCAGGGGATGAAAGATCTCTTTCTGTCTTTCCTTTGCTTTCTCTCTAACTCTGCCTTTCAAATAAAAAATAACATATATTTTTTCTTTAGAGAAAGTTATGCTTACAAGAGTTTTTGACCTATTTTTTTTTTTTCATTTTAATGAAGGAGAGGCACAGAGTGGTCTTCGTTTTGCTGGTTCACCTCCTAAATACCTGCAATAATTGTGGTTGAGCCAGGTGGAAACAGGGAGCCCAGGACAGTCCAGGTCTTCCATTTAGTAGTAGAGACTTAGGTACTTAAACTATCATACTCTGTAACCTGGCATTCCTTAATTGGAGTTGGAGAAGCAGAGCTGGGATTCAAACCAGCCACTCCAAGGGGATGTAGGTATCCCAAACAGCTTCTTGACTGCTGTGTCAACCCTCCCCCACTGGCCCTGCCCTTGCAGAAGTATCTGTAGGTAGGATGTCAGATTCAGGGGACCTCGTATGCTAGAAATGCTCAAGAATTTCAAAGTTTGGGGATAACCAGGAGCAAGAGGCAGTGACCAGAAACCCCATGTATTCTCTGTGGAAAGTGCTCTTCTTCTGCAGGTGACATGGGGTTGGCATCTGGGCCACCATTGCTGGGTATTTTGGTCTCAGTGTGTCTGGGGGAGTGGGGTGGGGAAACCACAGAAACCTGTGGTTTCTAGTGAGATCGGTAGGTGGGTTCTGGAGTGATGAGCTGTCCAAGGAACATGTTTCAGGTGCTGGGCATTTCCCAGAAGGCACAGGACATTGGCCAAGGGTATTCATTTGATCTGCAAGATGGGGCAAGTATGGCCTCCTCTCCACACCCTGGTTTATTTGGCTGGTTCCAGTGCAGAAAGGTCCCTGCCATGGACCTTTCCTGTGCTGAATGTGGGGCCTCTGAAGCCCAGATTCTCTTCAGGAACAGCAGAGGGAACCTGGAGTGGCCATTCCCTTAGATGAGCTGAAGGGATAGATCTGAGTGGATACAAAACTGTCCAATCCTGGGCTTTTCTGGGTGTGTTGAGTACCATCTGGGAGGGACTTGCAGGGAAGAGGAGACAGGCCAGAGATATATAAAGAGAAATCACAAGATTTATTTTGAATGTTTTCATTCATTCTCTTTCTTGCTGAACACCTTTAAAAAC